ATCGAATGCTCTGGGCATCATCGCTTAGATACAGGAAGTGGACAAATGAATGAAAATAGAAGCTCCAAATTGATGCTTTTTTTTGGAGGATCAACAGGTTTTGTTTGGTGAAGTAGCCCCTACCTGGCCTTGACTTCAAGCCAGCTAATCCTTATGAATCAACCAAGTGTTTACTGAGCCAAATAAATATTTTGGTGCAGCAGGATCTGGGGTGAATGTTGAACAAGGCACCCCAATTCCTGAGTTTGGGGAGCTTAAAAATCTCCTCCAGGGTCTTGACTGCAGGGACATAGAGAGTGGCCTCTGTTCCATGAGGCACACCGTCCTATAGGAGAGGGGTGTGCTGGTAGCTCCTCTTGTCTCTCCACACAAATCTCATGTCAAGAGGCCTGAGGTGGTCCAGGGGAGGCTCATTCGCTTGACAAACAAGCACATTAAGAGCTTTTGTCCTGGGACAAGGTATCATACAGGCAGCCTTTTGATGTAGGCAGGATAGGGAAGGCCCTCTCCCAAGGCAATGTCAGAAGCCAACCTTGCAGAAAATAGGAAAAACAGGAACTAAGATCTGGTAAGACCCTCACCTATCTATAGCAACAGACCCAGAAAAGTTCCTGCAGAAACAAAGGTCAAGGAAAGGAATTTCAAAGAAGACATCACCACTCCTAACCCCCTTAGTAACCTCCATAGCAACAGACTTTGACCTAGATAGAAGCCCCACATGGGGGCAGGTTGGACAAACCCTATAAATACTTGGAACAAAGGAAGGGTGCATAAATACTGCCTGAGCGCTTGGATTACTTGCTCCCACATGGCCGAGCACATGTGTCGCCCAAGCACACGTGTTGCACAAGCACATGTGTCACCTGCATCTCCTTTCTTGAGATGTGTCCTTTCATGCTTTCATGTCTAATGCTGGGATGTGTGTAGGGGCTCTCTCCGCCCTTAGAGAAGTCTGGGTTCTTTCCTGAGCACGATACTCTCCACTGTCTCCGACTTTCTCTTCCTCCTTCCCTTCAAAACCTCCAAATAAAATCTGTTTTACTTCACTGCTTGTCTACTCCTGAAATTCTTTTCTGTGAGGCGAGAGAAGAACCTAGTGACCCTGGGTCCCGCGTGGCAGAGGCAGATCGGGAGAAGGTGACTGTCTTTCTCCTCCCGACTTCACATGAGCCACCCATGGGGCTCACCGACATAATTTTGAACCAGTTATGAGGGTACTTCCTCCTTTACATATCCTGTACTTCAAAGAGACAAAGACAAAATGGAGCCCACGCATAAAAGAGCAGCCTGCATACGGAAACCAAGTCACAGGTGATGGGGAGGAAATGCAATGAAAAAAAAAAATATATATATATATATATATATATTTAATGCTTTTGGTCCGTCATCTATCAGTAAATGTCTCAGGTCTGACAGTAATGTGCCTGGGACTGTAGAATTCGGTCTTTTCCTGTTATTCATTGTTAAAGCGAGCTTTTCCTATTTTTAAAGTCATGTTGAAAGAGCTATAGAAACGGTGTTGCAACACGGAACGGTTACTTGTAAAGTTAATAAATAATGACTAAAACATGTTCAGCGTTATTAAGAATAGTACTGCCAAGATGTGCAAGAATATAAAGGGCAGAACAGAGGTGAGGATTGAAAAGATCTTACTCAAACGTGTTGGAAATATGCTGCCTGGAATTAGGTGCACTCCAAGCGGACGAAGCAGAATGAGGAACACATTGTGCAGTCACACAATCAATAGCAGAAATTCCGGGAGCTGTGATCGTAATTAATTTGCTGTTTCCTTGTTTCTCTGTGCAACCCATGTAACAGAAGCATCGGAAGGACACTGGGTGGGGTTATTCCCCCTCCCCGCTACTTCTACTTCTGTCTACTGCAATTGTCTATTCATAGAAAACACTTGATTTATTCTGCTGTCAGCTTATAAATAAATAGAAAACAAATCTAAAAATTATCACAACATAGCATCAGAAAGCCTAGAGGAAGAGTCTTGATTTCTGGACTGCCGAATGCAAGAAATAGGGGGGAAAAATAATGCCAAGTACAATAGAACCAACTCTGCAATGCTCTATCCCTTATTCCACTCCAGATGCCCCTAAACAATAAAGAAGCAACTCACTGGACTAGATAATGAAGAATGAAAAAAGAAAGTGGTGCCTGAAAGAAGCAACTTCAACAAATCCATTAGCAATTAAGCTTTGCCTGGGCATACCAACTTCAAGTGAAGTCTAAATGAATGAACGAAGCTCCTGTTTATATTTTTAAAACCTACATCCAGTGACCATCACAAATGGAAAGAATCAACGTTAACTATCTTCCCTAATAATACAGAAAAAAAGTGTGATATTATTTGCTTTCAGATCCTAACACTTCTGATTCCAGATTTCAAGAGGATACACTGTCTACTTGACATTTCAAATGAAATGTCTCCAAACTAGAATTCTTGCTTCCTATCCCTCCTTCAACCTTCATCCTCCCTCACTCAGTCTTTCAGCCAATGGTCCCAATCCACACAGATGCTCTGGTCCCAGAGTTGGTGGTTCTCCTGGAGTCTGTCTTTTCTCTCTCTCTCACACTACTGCCTGTCCCTGTGCTCAATCTAATCTCTCAACAAACATGAGTTCGACCTTCAGAATTTCCAATGCCTTCCCTTCAGCCCATCTCTCGTGCTCATAACTGGTCTCAGCTAGTTTATTCTGCTTCCATCCATATTTTCCCCTAGAACTCCTTTTCCATAAAAATATAAGAGATCTCCCATGAATAAATGAATGAATGAATGTATGCTTTTCCTCTGCAAAAGACCCATTGTATGGCTTCTTTCATGCTTAGGATAAAATCTGAACTTGGTATGTTGAAGCCTATCATGTTTCTAGGTTGGAAGCCTGATGTTGGGGCTCTAGCCCGCCCTTCTCCTATCCTTTTGCACCCTTCCTCTGGCTCACCAGGCCACCATTCCATTGTATGCTCTCTGTGCCTCACAACTGTGAGCCCTGGTGTTATCGCTGGACATTCTGAAAGCTGCAAAAACTCTTTCCCGTTATATGCTTGTTCAGATACCTACTTCTTGTTACTTTAACTGAGCACCTCATCTGAAAAAGCAAATAAAAACCCTTAGTTCACCTTCTTTGTGCTGGAGCGATTGCACAGTGGTAGGGCGCTTGCCTTGCACAAAGCTGACCGGGGCCAACCCAGGTTTGATTCCTCTCAGAGAGCCCAGCAAGCTACGAAGAGTATCTCGACTGCATGGCAAAGCCTGGCAAGCTATCTGTGACGTATTCATATGCCAAATACAGTAACAAGTCTCACAATGGAGACATTTCTGGGCCCGCTCGAGCAAATCAATGAACAATGGGAGGACAGTGCTACAGTCCACCTTCTTATCATTTCAACCCTCTCTCTGCTCTGTCCAGTATGATGGCACTAGTCACATGGGGCCTGAAATTTGACAAATTCTAGTGCAGTATATGTATAAAATATGCAACAGGGCTCAATGGTTTAGTATAAAAATGTGAAATGTATCAATCACTTTATGTCAATTGCACACTGAAATGACAATACTCCAGGCAAGGTAGGTTAGATAAAATATACTGGTGTTTTAATTTACCTTTGTTCTTCTACTTTTCCAAACTGTGACTATTTGAGAATTTAAATGATCTATATCACTTGCATTTACAGCTCACCTCATATTTCCATTAGGTAGCACCGCTTGATTCCATTATACTATTTGATTTTCTTCGTTGCATTGATCTGAAATGATCTTTCCTGTTTACTCATTGGCTGCTCTTACCCTGCCCCTCATCAGAATGTTATTTCATAAGAACAGGGAATTTGAATGATTTTTTTATTGCTGTGACCCAATTCTCAGAACACCGCCTGGCATTAAGAAGGCATTCAATAAATATTGAGTGAATGAATGAATGAATGAATGGCTGAAGACTTCCTGGCCTATTATGCTTTCCATTAGCATAAGTGTGATAAGAGAGGCCACCAAAGCTAATGAGAATATTCTACACAGCAGGGGAAGGGATTAGAGTCCAAGAATCTGGTATCTTTGAAGCAATTTTCTTGAATTATTATTTGACTTAATCTCTTCAACTGCTTTTAAGTTCTTGAAGGAAGGGATCACGGTTCTTACATCTGCCTATTTCCTGCTACATTAGCAGATGATCTTAGTAAATACATCAATGGGCATAAAGTCACTATCATTACAAAACTACCACATTTTGAACACTTAATGTGTAATAGGTGACCTTTATTATTATTTCATTTATAAAATTGATGTTAGGAATTATTAGTAAAGCTAATGAACTGGTGTTAGATCAACCAGCAGCTGGCACCTCCATTCAAATTCTGTTTATTTGGATGTAATGCGAATTCTGAATTGTTGCCTTCACAACTGAGCAACTGCTGAAAACACTAAGAGAGAAGAAAGGACACTAAAAAAAACAAAAAGAACACTTTCAGCGTGAAATGAAAGAAAGCATCTCGAAGAACAAGGGTCTGGGGATGCGGCTCAGTGGTACTGCATGCATCTGGCAGGCCTGAAGCTGTGGATCCAATTCCCAGCACCACTCCAGGTTGAATGTGATCCCTGCATCACTGCTATTAGAGACCCCCAGGGCCACCGTGGAGTGCATGATCTCTAACCCACTGCAGCACAGTGCATGACCATTGCTAACATGGGTGTGGCCCTGGCAAACATGGCAATGGTGTCTGACTTCCCAAGAGGTCGGCAACCAAAGTGTGTATGAGCACCATGACTCAAATACGACAGTACTGTCAGCCAGCATGCAAGCATGTCAGCTGCACGCAAGCATGGCAGCATGCTATCCAGTGGGGGAGACCCTTGGTCACTGTTATGCCAACAGTCACCAAGAGAGGGTAGGGGGATGGGGAACAAAACAAAACAACAGTGCCACTCCCCAGAAAGTAACAATTGACTTGTGAACTGCGGCACATTCAAACCAATGTGTCTTTGGCCACACACATCCTACCTGACTTCCAGATGCAGGACCAGCAGGCAGCGGTCAGCCATCTCCTGAAAAGATCTGGCCAGTTCACTCAGCGTCTGCAGGATCTGCTCTGACACTGGAGGGAGGTCCATGCTCATGTGGCCTTCCTGAGCAGGAGACAGCGCTGCAGAGAGGGGAAGAACAAGATACCCGTCAGTTCATCAGATGCCCCAGTTTAGCTGTTCTAAACTGACCAACTGTGTTGTTTTGACCACGTGGGCCAATGTTAGTGTTGCTGGCATCAGACATTCAAGATACGAGAGGCTGCTTCTGTAGTCAACTAAAGATACGGATGCCCCAAATGGAATTGCAGAGTCAAATGTGACCTTAACGGTCATCTGGACCAACTGCAGCCTGTGGCTTCTGTGGATCTCCAAGGGATGCTCAGTGCCCAGCTGCACCTCATCAACATGTTTTTTGTTTTTAAAGATTTCCTGAAAGATTTGATTTGTCTTAACTTACACAACCAGCTCTGCAAACATTTTCACATGTATCAATACTTCAAATATTGAGCCTATCTCTTTAGGTTTTCTTGAAGTCTTCCCTTTTCTTGTCTAAAAGCTCCAGCTCTTCTTAAAAATGTTGGATGAAATAAATTTTCTAGCTTTCCTTATTTGCCAATTAAAATAAAAAATCCAGTTGTCCTAAACGTACCTTCAAATTGGTTGTGTTAGACCTGATACAACCAATACTATGGAATGATCTGAGTTAACAAAGAGAATGAACTTCCTTGTTCTAGAGGCTATGGAATCCCTAAATCTTTTGGGGTTATATTTCACCTTAAGTCACACAGCACTGTCAGTCCACTGGAAGTCTAAAAAGGTCTTTTTGTAAAAATTGCTAAAGACACCTTCTCTATCCCCCAAGTAACAGAGAAAATATTTAGAGAGAAAAAGGACTTGGACATATTTTCTTCGGGAAAATACTAAACAGCAAAAAAGTGAATTACATGTGTTTGTGTCTAAATACCTGCTGTTCTGCCAGTTCTCTGGAACTCCTCAAAGGTCACAGAGTCATTTGGCAACGTCATTCAATTTTTTTTTTAGTTGTCTACAATTACAGGCTTTTGAGTCCTGCCCCTCACTACATTGTTTGGTTTGGTTTTGGGTTACATTCAACAGTGCTGAGGGCTTGCTTCTGGCTCTGCACTTGGGGGTTACTCCTGGCAGTGTCCAGTGGCTTATACGCTGGGGTCAGGGACTGAACGTGATTTGGCCTCAAGCAAGAAAAGGGCCTTAATCCTTGTATTAACTCTCTGACCCCTCCACTCCTACTATTAGTTAACCAAGAGGTAGTTACTTAAACTCTGGTTGCCTCAATTTCTTCTCTAAAATGGAGAGAGCAGTGCCTACGGCGTAATCTGGGGGACAACCAAATGGGTTAAACAACAGCACAGAACACTTGCTCTGCACTAATTTAATAAACTAAAAGCGATTATGATTCTTCAGCACATGGACTGGCTAGGTTAAGAACTGAAGCTTAATTATAGGCAGTCATGAGATATTAAAAAACAAAAATTCCAGACACCTGCGGATGACTCAGTGGCAAAAAGAATGAGGCCCTGAGCTTGGTCTCCAGAGCTGCCCACCTGCGCTGAGTGTAGCTGGTCCCCAGGGCTCTGCTCTTTGGGAGCCCGAGCACTACAGTCCAGTGCGTTAAACATTTTCTCGGTTACCTGGGCTGACAGGGCTGGAGCAATAGCACAGCGGGTAGGGTTTTTGCCTTGCACACAGCCTGACCCGGGTTCGATTCCTCCGCCCCTCCTCGGAGAGCATGGCAAGCTACTGAGAGTATTCCACCCACACAGCAGAGCCTGGCAAGCTCCCGTTGGCGTCAGTGCTACAGGACAGGACAGTGCTACAGTGCTACCTGGGGTGACTGAAGGCAGCTTTAGCAACTTTTACAAAAGGCCCTTTGTAGACTTTTCAGTTGAGTGATAACACTTCCTGAGATAAGGTGAAATGCAACCCCAGGAGGTCCAGGGCTTCCAGATAAGACTCCCATGTCCAGCCCTGTATGTGCGACATCCCGGGTGAAAGGATGGGCCATCCAGTGAGCACCCAGACCAACGTGTGACCCCCGCTCCATTCCCCGAGAGTAGCCCACGCACTTAGATATGCATCCCCGGGAAGCACCACAGTCAAATCTGAGAACCGTGGGTATCACAGCAGCAACAAGAAGGGCAAGGGAAAAGGCAGAATATAATTTCTTCCACCACCAAGCTCGGTTCTCACTTCTCTCTGATCTTTGCTTTTTGGCGGGTATGCTCTTCTCCAGACTCCAGAGCTTGCAAAAGCTCAGAGCTTCCTGGATTTAGGCACATGGGACTCGAGGAGGCATGTGGATCAGCTTGGCAGCGGGGTGGGGGTGGGGGGCAGAAGGAGAGGGGGAGGGCTGGGAATTGTCAACTGCCTGTAGCAGCAACAGTGGCTGGAGTTGGGGGTTTTCAGGGCTGCAGGGATGACTGGGCATCACCCAGAGAAGGTTCTGGAGAGACAGTTCAGACCTACAAAGCCAAGTCTTCCTCTGTGGAGCAAGGTTCCAAGAACATACCAAATGTCACAGCTAACACATAACACAAGAGGACTTTTGTTCCAGAGAGTGTCAGTTTATGGAGGAGGGTGATGGAGCAGTATAATGGGTAAAGCAGGTTCCAGCCTTGGTACTGCCCAAGATGCACATTGACTCGAGGATACGCCAGAGGGGCGTGTCTGTTTCCTCTTTGTGGGATCACTAAGGGCATCTGACTGCTTTCCTGATGCTTCCTTCGACAGTGAGAGCAAGTCTAAGGAACACAGCTCCGATAGGTCTACACAAGCCACTCAAGTTCCTTAGCTGTGAGGTAGGTGACCATAGCAGGATGATTCAGGGATCAGTAAAGAGACCAAAAAACTAACCTCGAGGAAATCAGATTCGGGTGGTCTAAGGCCCATCGCTATACTAATTTCCCAAAGTCTATCAAAGTCATTCTGAACAAATTCCACCAAGGGGGTGGGGGGGAAGAAATTCTGAAGTCTCCCCTTTTTTTTATATTGAAATATACTATTTAATTTTGTGTCATAACTGAGCACTGACAAATGATGCAAGTTTAAAAATATTTTTTTAAGAGCTAGGGATTTGGCTCAAAGTTGCAGCATGCATGGCAGGTGTGGTGCACAGCTCTGAGGCTGACCCCCCCACCCTCCTCCATCCTGTCCCAGCAGCCTGAAGGTGTGATCCTGGTGGCATTCCAACAAAGCCAGATGCCAGATCCCAAGCATGGACCCTCATCAAACACTTACCACCAGCTCGAGTATCAAGGGGGAGGGACTCCCACCCCTGGCAGCTTGTGCTATCTAGGCTCAGTCCCTATATCCTGCACACACACACACACACACACACACACACACACACACACACACACCACCCCTCCACCCCGCTGTATCCCAACCAATCCAAGCACAAGTTAGTGGCCAGATAAGCAGCCAAGGTAAAACTTGGAATGGATGAGGCAAACAGTATTTAGAGTAGCAGCACGTTGTACTTTTCATCGGAGACTGTAATCTATAGCAAAAACATAACATTTTAGTAAAGCAACATGAAAAAGGATGCCCAGAGAGGCCCTTAAAAAAGCTGGCTTGTGAATTACGTAGGGCTCGCTGAAATTTACCAAGTTTCCTTAACAAGAAGGAGCTGCCTGAGCAAAGAAATGCTGAGCAAGGCAAAGACAACATGGAATAATTAACTTGCTCTTAAATGTCAAGTGGAAACCTACAAAAAGGCAACATTGGATGGAATCTGCTGGGGAGGTGGTGGTGGAGACAGACGCTCTCTGGACTTGCACTCACACACACACACACACACACACACACACACACACACACTTGCACAGTCTGGACCATGATCTTGGGGCCACCTCTTCACATACACAGAACCTAGATGCACTGGGTTGTAGAAATTTAAGTAGCTGATCATTTCATTCACATATTTCCTTTCAGAGCTGGGGCCATAAAACAGTGGGCAGAGTACTTGCCCTGAACATGGCTCACCCGTGTTTGATTCCCAGTACCCCTTATGATGCCCTGGGCACACCAGTTGTGATCCCTGAGCACAGACCCCAAACAAAAAATCAAACTAAACACAAGAAACCAACATCTTAGCTTCCACCTTTAAAAAAAAAAGCTGGAGGGCATCCCTAGCAGTGGAAGGGGATTCCGAAGGATAATTTCTAGTGATACCTGGCTGGGCACATGTGGGCTTGAGAAGTGCTGGGGGCTATTAGGGTCATCCCAGTGGTGTGGGGGGACTGCCTGTGCTATTTCTGGCCAGCTTCAGACTACTGTTCGTGTAGGGCTTTTGCTTGTGTTCCACTCCTTTGAGCCATCTCCCCATCATCCTTTGAGTTCTGTCACTGTCACTGTCCTCCCGTTGTTCATCGATTTGCTTGAGCAGGCACCAGTAACATCTCCATTGCAAGACTTGTTGTTACTGTTTTTAGCATATCGAATACATCACAGGTAGCTTGCCAGGCTTTGCCGTGCAGGCTGAATACTCTCGGTAAAAATATTTTAAAATAACGGAGATGAACACTTCAGATCATTCATGATATCCGTGCTCTTCTTCCTTATTTTTTTTTTTGTATCACCATGAGATACAGTGACAAAGCTTTCCTGATCGAGTCTCAGTCATACAGTGATTGAACACCCTTCCTTCCACCGGTGTGCATTTTCCATCACCAATGTTCCCAGTATCCCTCCTGCTATCCCCACTCATCCCACCCTCTGCCTCTATGGCAGACACCTTCCTTCTTACTCTCCCTCTACTTTTGGGCATCATGATTTGCAATACAGATACTGAGAGGCCATCATGTTTGGTCCTTAGTCTACTTTCAGCATGCATCTCCCATCCCGAGTGAGGCCTCCAACCATAATTGACCTAGTGGTCCCTTCTCCTGAGAAGCTAGCCAACTTGGTGGCAGGAGAACTGTGACCATTGGCACTACGTTGATTGTCTACACAGAAAACTGAACTGTGATTTCTGGGGAAGACACTTCTGGTGAGGGTGGAACACACATATTCTAGGTTCTCCCTTACTCTTTCCACACTAGACTCTGGGAGCCACCATACCCACTCCACTTGTAGCTAG